ATATTTTGATGTTTAAATTGTTAATCAAAATATGTATGCAAAAATCTGATGTTACTTGAATCCTACACATATCTGACCTTATATGCTTGATTATCTGGTTAAACAAGTTTTGAAGTAGTTAATAAAACTTCAGTTAAAGTTATTGTTGAAGTATGATATCAGAACTTTATTGCAAGTTTGAATATGTTGATGATGTTCATGTTGTATGAATATGAGGTTCTTATAAAGCCAATACGTATTACCAGCTTACACTTGTAAAAAATTACAAGTTTGAGTAAGTTCTGAAATTTGTTAAAATTCATCTTACATAAGTTTGACCTTATTATAGGTTTGTTATTGTTGATACTTCAATATTTATACGTTTGATGTTTTCATGCTTTGAAAGTTATTATACGCCTGGTGTTATTATAAATTTGATGTCGCTTTAAGTTTGACGTAATTGTTGAGATACAAGTGGTTCGATCCTGAAGTAAAATGACATAAACCATGAATAAGAGCAGAACTTCATTCATAAAATGATGTTTACAATAGTTTGGCCAAGGCCATTACATTTGGTTAAAAAAATATAAAAAGTACAAAATGGAGAACTACTCTAAGCATGTGGGGAAGAAGGAGCCACAAAAGGTACTATGGCGCCAGAAGACACTTCTTTAGCAATAGCTTCTTCAGCTGAGTCATCTTCAAGTTCAATTATTTGGTTTCCCTCTGTCGGAGTTTGAAGTTCAGGCTCCTCCGATTCATCCTCCAAAAACTCCGTTATTAACTCCGAAGTGTTGACGCCTTGAGTGTGCACCTCCAGCCATTCAATCATATCCATGTAAACATACCTCCGCCAATACTTCGTGAAGCTCTTGTATGCCTCGGTTAGATGAAAGTTGGCAAGGAAACGCTTCTCAGTGTCACTACCAGTAATTTTAGCTTCTAGTCGACAATCTCCACCTCCTCGGTTAATCCAGATACTTTGGAGTTCAGTTTCCCCACCTGCTCTTTTAGAGCAACATTCTTTTATTTGCCTTCTCTAATGCCTCAGCTACCAAACATTGATGAGCGTTGGACATCTCCACTCGCTTCGTGAGGTCACTTCACTTTTGGATAAGTGGACCTCCTCCTTTAACTTCTCAATCTTCTCCAAAGCTGAAGCGGCCTTTACAAACTCATTTGCCTCCTTCTTCTTCTGAGACTCGGCCTTAGCTACTTTGGCAGCCTCCTCAGCCTGTGCGGCTTTATTCACAAACTCTTTATTTTTTCATTGAAGCTTTTTAAAGAGTGCCTCCACCTCTATGGCCATGCCAAACGACCTCCCTGCCTGGGCCACCATCGTGGCAACAACATCGACGACATCATTATGTTCAACGAAGGATTGCCATTTTTTCGCTAGTACTTGTCAAATGTCGTTGTAGCAGTCTGGATTTCAGGAGGAAGAAGTGCAAAAGCCTCAGATTCTAGCTTGTCAGACCTTTTGGCCAGGGCAGGTCAGGGTTTCGAAGCTCCGGAAGTGGTGGAATCATTTGAAACTTTTGCCTTTTTGGCAGGGTCTTCTATCACAATAGTTAGCCTTTTCTGTCCCCCAGATGCCACAGTCATCGAGCTACCCAACAATTTTTCCCTCGCTGGGACCTCAGAGTGGGGGAGAAAGACATCCTTGAACCCCCGCCACACTGGGGGTTGGGATCCTGAACCTTTTCTTTAGTTCGTCATCCACAACTTTTTCCCCATATCCAACACAGGGGTTCGTCCCTCCTCCTGAGAGGCAACCTCCTTGCTAACCCTCTCAATCTTATCCCTTACATGCTTCACTCCAATAGATGAGGGCTTCACCATTTCTCCGAAGTCGATATGGCGATGAGGATGGTGGCCATATCAGGGGTGGGATGCCTCATCTTATTAAAGTTCTCTACAAGTCAAGAAACAAACAAGGTTAGCAAAATCCCATTAAAAAGAAGCCAAGAAATGAACAAGTGTAAAGACACCTTACCCCTCTTCGCCATCAAGCCAAAATCTTCAAAGAAGCGGCTCGATTGGATCAAACGACCGAAGTCACGTTAGTCCAAGGATTTCTTGTAGGCCTCAGTAAGGGTGTCCCAATCACACTTAGTAAACTCGAATTGCTCGACCAACCCTGCAAAATAGATAGAAAAAGTGTAAGTATCAGACCTCGTCAGTTCAAAAATCACAAAAGCAAAAAATGCACTCACTGGCGTTGGAGTATGAGGTTGGGACTTTGACATGTGGGATTAGGTCACCCTCACACTCCTGCCACTTCCTCCTAACCCAGAACCAGGTCTCCTTCTATCCTTTGATGGATGATGGAAAACCTACGACAAATGAGGAGTGCGACCTCCAAGGACACGGTGAATACCACCCCTTGGAGACCCCTTTTCCGAAGGATCGAGGTTGGTATACTGTTTAAAAGATGTGCAATGGCATGTCCTCGCCCAAGGAGGCCTCCTTCCAAAGGAATAGGAACCTACCAATTGGGCCCAGACTTATGAATGAGTTGGGTGGGAGCCAACTCATATAACCTAAGGACAGCCCTAAAGAATGGGTGGATCGACAGGCGAAGCCCAGCCTTTAACAAAAACTCACTAACGATGACACCGCCTTGCTTAGGGTAGCAGCCTCACTTGTTAGGAGAAGGGGAAAGGAGTTCGATGTCATAAAGGATCCTATGCTTCTCCCTAAGATTGGCTAAAAATGTAGGATCTACGAAAGATGGGATTTTAGCTACCCCCGAGGCTACGTCGTCATCCCTATCGCCACCTCTGGAAATTGAAGCACCTCGCCCTACCTCAACGGCTCTAGCGAGGTTGGCTGTGTTTGTAATTTGAAACCCCATCTCATTGGCTAACTCACTAAGATCTACTTTCGAATTCGAAAAAGCCATTGATTTACAAGTTTGTGTAAATTTTTACAAAGCTAAAAAATAAAAAATACAATACTTACGAGTTTCTCAAAGATAATGAAGGAAGAACACTGAAATTCACAAAAATCACAAGAATGAAGGAAGAAACTCGACAGAGAAGAACACTTAGAAGAGTTTCAAGCACAAACTTGAAGAATTCTTTGAAAAAAACTTGGAAGTTTGGGGAATTTGAGAAGGAGTGACGGAAAGATTCGTGCAAAAGTAAGAAAAGAACTCTCCCAAAAGTTTGTATCTTTTATAGGCAGACCCACTCAACCCAGCTGTTGGATCTTGATTCGGGTTATCCAACTGTCCATTTAAGAGTTTTAATCTGAACGACTCACCACACTTCGTCTTCTACGGTCCAGATTAGAACATATAACCCATGCGCCCTCATGCGCTTAGAACTCGCCAAAATACGTGGGAGACAGCCATCATTGCACATTAAAATATGGCGACAATTGTGTTTATTAGGAGACGAACCGCTTAAGCTGTCTTTTCTTGGAAACAGCCATGACATCAAATCATTGGGGCACCATAATTGATGATGCCTCATGTTCCTCAAAGTTATTAAGATGAAACATCTCGAAATTACTAACTCCGAAGCTCTATAAAGGTCTGACCCTTCTCACCTCTACTACTTCAATCAATGTTTCGAATATGTAAAGACACTTCAAAAGATACAACATCAGATTCATTCTACTTCGGCAACCATTCCTAGAATCAGTCCAAATAACAAAATATTACCAAGTAAACCACTTCGGACAACACCTACATTGGGTCTGCACAAGTCAGGAATATTCTGAATTCTAACCATAACATGAATGATTATACTTAGACTTAGGGGACTATTGTGGTGTGGTAAAAAACCACCCCCCTCCAAAATTTATTCTTATTCTTATTTTTTAGAATCAAGTCCATACATTACATAAATAATCATTCCTAGACTTAGGGGACTATTGTTACTCCTCGCCTCCGAGGCTTAAAAGAGATAATGTCACGTAGTAACTCCCGTTGGCAGAAAGTAAACAAGAAAGTCAAATAAAGATCCATGAGGCCAAAATACAAAGAAGTCAAGCAAGGCCGAAGTCCTTACATTCTAAGGACGAAGTTCAGGCTAAGGTAATATCTCAAAGACGAAGCTGCTTGAGGAAGCAAAGAAAAGAGCCAAAGCTCTTCACTTAGAGGACCACTTTGGAGACTCCTCTGAGGCTCTCAACTCTTCCGAAGATCGCAAGGATAATGTTGTTCCTTATAATAGATTTGTAGATCTCTTAGAAGTGATTGATATAACACTTGTAATAAAGTTTATCAATATGTCAACCTATTGTATAGAGCGACTGGTCCCTTATCAATGTGTTAATTGTATGAATAGACAGTGATGTGATGACCTAATTAGGGACATGAGCCCATGTGATTCTGATCTAATGGTTACCACGTCGACCGAGGTAATATAAATAGGTTCTCTTTGTAACTTAAAAGGGGTTGGATTATTGATTAGAATAGAGACAATTGAATATATTTAAAATACACACTTGAACTCTGGAGAGAAATAAGCAAATACTTGGGCTTGTTTCCTATCTTCTTTGTATGCTTAAGAGTTGTAAATTTCGATATACAACCCAATGATTTCAATGCACATTATATCTATCCTTCTATATATTCACGTTTATTGTTATGCAAATTAATTTGATTTTAACTCGGAGATCGTTGTTAGTGTGATTGCTTTTGTTTCATCCCTCGGATCTTGAACATTTTTGTCTCTCGCCACAAATTACATCCCGCGTCCATCTCCTCCTTGCTATCGTCGTCATTCCGGTAGGAACTCATTGAAATCGTGCTTGATTTATCTTGAGTGAGCCTAATATCTGTTGGCTCATTTTCAGGGGTCAACACATACCATAAACCTAAAATAAGCAAATTGTTATTAGCGTAAGAAAATCCATATTGGTATATAAATCATTAATTGGTATATTATTATTCATTTTCTTGTACTAGGCAAACTAAAAGCTTCAACTAGGCAAATAAATTTCATGAGTATAATTGAAGAATTGGAAGAATAGTCCAGGCAGAAGTAGTACGTTGTGATAGTATGAAATTATGAATGGTTCTGACAGCCTCCAAGTTCTAGATCTTCCCTACGAATATTGCTCTCAGGCATTGTCTACATTACAGATTGCAATAAAATACATTATTCAAACCAGGACAAAGCTGTACTTCTAACAAAGTTTGAACTTCACCTTGAAAACAACCGGTTCATCCATATCATTCCATATACCATCAACACCATCAACAACAAAATCCTTGACAAGATTAGCCCACCATGAACGGACTTCTGATTTTGTTAAATCAGGAAATACACAAGGCCAGGCCACACCTCCCCTAATGATAGAATCAAATAAAACAATGTAAAGGATTGGGATAAAAAGGAAGAAAAGTTCATTTGACAAAAAAATTCCCCCCGGCCATGAGTTCAAGCTTTTTCCTTTCTCTTCCTTTTTCTTCTTCATTTTAAATGTTCCATTTCAGTTTTGTGTAAGAACGTAGAGAGGAACAGATGTATCATAAGAACCTAGAAACGGCTTTCGATCAACAGTTTGAGTCCATATATCTCTTTTAGAACCACTGTCATAGACAAAATAACCCTCTTCATATTTGATCCCTGGGTCGAGCATTCAGATTTCTTTGAAACCATTTTGATAAAAGTAGTTTGTGAAAGTTTATTAAATTCGACCTTATATGTAGAATTATACAATTAACAAGCAACAAGTCATTTTTAATTATTTTTAGATGATTAGTCAATCAATTCAATTATCCTATATTGGATTACCGCAATTTATATTGAAAAATAATAAATAACACCAATATTGTTGACGGAGAAACCAAACTGGGTAAAAACTCCGGGACCAAGTCAGTTACCTCCACTGTAGACAATACGGATTTACAGTAAGATGCTGCCTAATCAACTCCACTAGACTTCCTAATCTAATTATTGTAACCTCCAAGATCAGCTAAACCCACCAGCTCCCGATCTTCTGCAATTGTCTCTTCCAAGTAGAATTTCAAGAACGCCCTGTTCTTGTACTTTTCCCGCGCTTGTAGTCCAACATCTCTCAACCTCCAACAACCTCTGAAATTCAACTGGGAAAGTACCTTCCTAAGGTGTTTAGGAAGTAAATGTTTTGGATTTAATGGATTTACTGTTTTTCCCCAATCTACGGTTGTATACTCTCGAGTAAACGGATTGAATCAATACATGAACATGCTCTTGAATCTTCAAAGAATAATATGAATATGTTATAGAGAACAAGCACAACGAACAACCCCCCAAATTTAGTGCAAAGCATGGGTAGGGGTGGCAAAAGGGTCGAGTAGCAAGTCGGCTCGTCAAAGCTCGGCCCATAGACGGCTCGAGCTCGTTTTGGGACGAGCCTGAGCCTGAGCCGGGGGTTTTCCCGACGAGCCACTCGCAAATGGCTTGGGCTTAATAAAATATTTACATTGAAATGTCACAATATTAATAAATATAAAATTGTAATTCTTTTAGAGCATCAAAATATTTTTTAAGAATATTTGTATTAATTGATTCAAACAATTTTGTTATATTCTTCTGAAATATTAAAAATGTATGAATCGTATTTCGTTCCAAAATATTAATAATAATGAGCTCTTCAAGAGTAATAACATATTATTGTCTAGAGGTAATAAATTATGTAAGGATTTACTCTTCAAGAGTAAAATAATAATTTATGTTAAATTTTATATTATTATACTCTTCGAGAACTGGTAAAATATAACTAGAATATTAATGGGAATTATAATGTGCTACTTCGAGAACACATTAATTTTAATATTGCTTTTTCAAGAGCAATATGTCAATATTCCTTTTAGAATATTAAAATTTTAATGGCATGCTCTTCGGGAACGATAACATATTATTGTTTAAAATATAAATTATGTAAAGATTTACTCTTTAGGAGCAAAAACATAATTTATTTTAGAACTTTACTTAATTATCCTCTTTAAGAGCAAATAAATTTAATTAGAACATCAATAATAGTGTGTTATTTCATGAGCAACAATATTTTATGATAGACAGATATATGAGTACTAAATTCATAAACTATACCCGCTTTAAAAGGAATAAGAATGTAATAATTAATCGAACGATAAATAAAAAGCAAGAAAAAACACAAATTGAAACAAATATGGATTTTGGGAGCCTAGAGATTACAAATCATGGTAACTTATTTTAGAGACAATGCACATATTACAGAAAATCTACGATAAAAATAAATAAATTGAAAATAAAACCGAGTAGCTTCTTTTTACTTCAGATTTGTTGAAAAGGTGCAGTAAATTCGTACAAATATATGCTAAACTAATTGCAGTAAAATTGATTTCGACATATTATTATGACTATCGGAAAAAAATTCGCAGACAGAAAATTGATGTGGATGAATCACATTAAAGATGCATGAATTGATTTCGACATAATATTATAATGCATGTGTAAAATAATTTCACCAAATTAATTTTTATATATGTGACTGATAATTATGCTTATAACAATTATTACCTTCTAATTAATTTATTTTGATTTTAAGATAATCATGCTGATAACGTGTTATAAACCATAGAGATCAAAAGAGAAGCCAATAAACTTGTATATTTTAATAAGAAATCAAAACTACATATTTCTAGAGAAGAATTAGGAATACAATGGCAATACTTTATAGGGCTAGAAGAGTTTGAACAATGCTAGAGCAACAGGGCCAAAAAATAGGGATTTGCATCCAGATACACTTGGCAACAAAACATTGGGGGATGGGAAAATTTAACACAACAAGCCACGAGTCCAGAGTCGCCATGTGTGTCTGTTTTTAAACCCTGTCTGATTTCCCTGTTTGAGTAACTTTATTGGAAGAGTTTTACCATTTATAATAATTTTAAGATAATGGGATTCAAACCGTGGATAAATAGAAAGAAGGAAAACTAAGCAAGAGAAATGCAACACGAGACGAAGAAAAGAAAAGGAGACAAAAAGAGAAATGGAAAACATAAAGGAAATAAAGTGAGAGAGCAATATTCTAAATTGAAAGAAAAATGGACAAAAATAAAATAACTCCAGGATCAAGCTTAACCTAAAAGAAAATAAATATAAGCTGAGGCAGCAAATAAATCAATTATTTAGTAAATTTTGATTAAAAAAAAAAGATAAAATGTGTGATTGAAAAATTGTAAATCCCATAAACATGTATTTAAAATTAATTTTAAATTAATTATAATTCACACCAAACGTGTGCCAAATAACTATAAATCTGGAATATGCAATTATTTTTGAATTTATGTCTTAATGAGTATTTTTAAAAGTTTGGGAGCCAAATCAAAAAAGATTTATAGTTAAGGGACTTGTTTGCTATTATTAAACTACAAATTTTCTATTTTCGTGAACAGTCAGTCTCCCACGAGCTACATTGATGTCCAAGATTAATCAATTAAGAAACAATGTTGAATACGATTTGGGTATGAAAAGACGAAAAAAGAATAATTAGGAATTTTGTCTTACCAATGCCGAAAGTATTGCCAAAGTCTTGGATAATTTTATGTATTCATTGATTTAAGAAGGATAGAATTTGGATAGAAAAAATGAATTTCAAGGAATTGAATTGTCTAAAATTCATTTTAATGGGAATTGTCAATTAACTGTATTTGATTAGTATAAATTTTCACCTGAAAAATGTTAAAATTTTGGATCTTTTGATGTTCGTTTAATTTTGTTTTTTATGGAAATCGTTCATTAAAGGGAAAAAAATTTTTACCATTGGGAATAGAATTTGTTTCCATTGCCAAAAAAAAAAAAACTCGAAAACCATTTTCCCACCAAAACCATGGAAAAAAGAATTCCTCAAAAACCAAGAATTGGGCACTGTGGGACATAAGGTGGAAATTAAATTGCCAGAACATTTGACCAATCAAACATGGAATTTGGGTGGAAATGAAATTTCTTTTCTATTTTTCATGGAACTTTTCCCCAATCAAACAAGGCATAAGTTATCTCTCAATGAACAGTACTCAAATAATTTTCATGTGGAACGAATAGTGCATGTTACTGAAAACCTCAAGTCAAATTTATCACACAAATTTTTTTCCTTCACATTTCACCCATTGAATTCTCCACTAAATGATTATTTTAAATTATTTACACAATGGTATAATGAGTAATGCTACTTGTAGAGGGTCGCATGCCCTCATATATGATAATGTACCAGTAGCTTTTGTGATATAATAGCACGAGTACAATGTCAGTACTGTGTGTAAGATTAATAAGCTATTTGCGATCGAATTGTAGGTCTAATAAAGATGTATTTAAAATTATTTTTGAATTAATTATAATTCACACCTAACATGTGCCAAATAACTATAAATCTGGAATATGCAATTATTTTTGAATTTATGTCTTAATGAGTATTTTTAAAAGTTTGGGAGCCAAATCAAAAAAGATTTATAATTAAGGGACTTGTTTGCTATTATTAAACTAAATTTTTTCTATTTTCGTGAACAGTCTCCCACGAGCTACATTGATGTCCAAGATTAATCAGTTAAGAAACATGTGTTGAATACGATTTGGGTATGAAAAGAAGAGTTAAGAATAATGAGGAATTTTGTCATACCAATGCTGAAATTGTTGCCAAAGTCTTGGATAATTTCATGTATTCATTGATTTAAAGGGTTCATTTGATTGTAAGTATGGAATTTGTGTAGGAAAAAAAATAAATTTCAGGGAATTGAATTGTCTAGAATTCATTTTACTGAGAATTGTCAATTAACTATGTTTGATTGTTTTAATTTTTCACCTGAAAAATATTGAAATTTTGGATCTTTTGATTTTCGTTTGGTTTTGTTTTTCATGAAAATTGTCCATTAAATAGAAAAAAAATTACAATTGGGGATAGAATTTGTTTCCACTGGAAAAAAACCCTAAAAAACCATTTTTCCACCAAAACCTTGGGAAAAGGAATTCCTCAAAAACCAAGAATTGGGCATGTGTAGGGCATAAGGTGGAAATTGAATTGCAGAACATTTGGCCAATCAAACATGGAATTTGGGTGAAAATTGAATTTCTTTTCCATTTTCCGTAGAACTTTTCCCCAATCAAATAGGGCCTAAGTTATCACTTAATGAACAGTACACAAATAATTTTCACGTGGGATAAATAGTGCGTGTTACTGAAAACCTCAAGTCAAATTTATCACACAATTTTTTTTGTCCTTCGAATTTCACCCATTGAATTCTCCACTAAATGATTATTTTAGATTATTTAAACAATAGTATAATAAGTAATGCTACTTGTACAGGGTCGCATGACCTCTTATATGACAATGTACAAGTAGCTTTTTTGTGATATAATAGACGAGTACAATGTCAGCACTGTGTGTAAGATTAATAAGCTATTTGTGATCGAATTGTAGGTCTCATAAAGATGTATTTAAAATTATTTTTTAATTAA